AAAGAGTTGAAATCGATCTGTTGGTCTTCCGCCAGTCCCTCAGATGGTTATCCCGAGAACAGCTCAAGTCTGACCCAATAAACAGTCCATTTTTGCCAGGTTGTGGCTCAGAACAGCCAATGCTTGAGACCATGGTGAGTAAACATCTTCGGGTGTTGAAACCTTTTTTGCGAATGTCCAGCTACAATTATATAAATACCCTACACCTCCAAGTACCTCCTCAGGTTCGGTATGACTGGACCCTCCTGGCACCCACCCCAAACCCCTTCTCAGAAGGTACTTGGAGGCCTAGGGTCATACAATTAGCTAGGTCGGACATGGACTGTTCACTTGTCTGTCGAAATTCCATCCCGACCATCTCGTGTCTTCCCACCAGCCTCGGCTCGTGTCTTCATTTGGGCCGTCCGAAGTCGGATGTCACACGATGATTCTCTGTTTCTCCGTTGTTCTTCTTCGCCTCCAAGCAGACCTCTCCATCCAGATCCACCCCCATCCGGATCCGATGCCGCCTTCAATGCCAACACCGGCCGGAGGCGATTCACACAGAGCTCCGCCACCGTTGCGCCGCTGGTCGCACGTTGGACCAGCACCTCATACAGTACGCACAGCTGGGAGCTGGAGGAATTAGCCTGGTGGGTTCATCCAACGAACTAAGACTTATATATAGATTTTTAAAGCCTTTTTGGGCAGATGCCATATGTTTCGTGAATGCAAATTCACTCTCATGTTCATCTTCGGTGGACCACCAGTTTTCCACCTCCTAGTGGGTTGACCCACCAACGGAGCCGCACCGAGGTCTTCAGACTGGTCGGCACCGCCGAACTGGTCGGCACCGTCTTCAGTTCGGCACCGGCATCTCATCTGAATCGGCACCCATGGCGGAGCAGTGTCAGCGTGGGCCAATGGAGCAATGGCGGGTGCAGAAAATGGATGGATCCATTGCTCCGGCATTGAAATAACTGAATGTGTGTATGTTTTTTTTGTTCGAAGTGACATGTCAAATGTCCGTACCCTCTTTCAAAGACAACTTGATCACACCTTGTAATGACCAAAGCCAATGCGCCTAGAACAACAGCAAGGTGTCGCACCAACGCAGTTGAACATAACAACGCCGACTCAGACTAGGAGGGGACGTCAGGAGCAAGTATGCCTCAAAATTGATGGGTGTGGAAGGTATATAAAACCGCAAATCAATATATAATATGTTATTTCATTGTTCAGCTTCAATCTTTTTTCGGAAAGTCCTTGCTTCTACTACTGTCTGAGTTTTGGACTGTGTCATAGGCTGGGATTATTGATTGGCACCACAATAGACTGTGGAATCCAAATTCCTTGCTCTACTTGAAATATCTGCATTGTCGGGATTCCGACTATTATTGAGGAAGGGCGTTGCTCATCTAAGAATCCTTGCTAATGAAACGCTGTCATTTGTTACGATCTACGCCATTCCGTCAGGGTGAACGAAACCCTGCCGGCCACTCCCCCCACTTGGAACGCTCTGAGTCAATAGTTCCTGCGGCACGTTTGCGCCCTTTCTTCGCTGCATCTGGGACTCCACCCAATGGCGCTTGGGCAGCTGTGCAGCCAACGGTGCGTTGCAATCTTTTGCAGATCCTGTAGTACTGTAGACTAGATGGTGAGGAGTGGTTATATATGTTTGTAACTATTTGTGGTTCCAGTTGAAACCCGACTGGGCCTGAAGACCATGGAAGGATCTTCATCCTCAGTCTCTTGCGTATATGTTAGACCCGAAAAAACCCTGCGCATTTGACCTGGAGAGCCCCATGAGAGGGAATCGGACACATCGAGGTGGTGCGCACTGTTGTAGACATGCATAGTATACATCCCTGGGGATCCAAGTACCTTCTCAGAAGGTACTTGGAGCCTCAAACCTACATAAGAGTGTCTCCAATCACCTTCTGAGAAGGTACGACTGGATCCCTAGGGCATGACACATAACCAAAGGCGAACCCGTTCGGACCCGAATCCTCAGGACTTGGGGATTTGGGGTTTTTGGGGGTTTCGAAAAGCATCTGTGAACGGAGCGTCTGGGCATTCACTATTTACATCAACATGTGAACCTGCGGATTGGTGATTCTGATGGTACAAGGATTCTGTACCGAGATGGCTAAAACCCTGGCATAGAGGAACAACAACGCGTTCTGTCAGGATAGATCTTCCATCAGCACGCAGTGAAACAACAATCTCTACCTTTCCGGTGGTCAAAGACCTTAAACTTAGAAATTTGAGATCTTCTTTCAAACAGACTTGAAAGCTATGCAAAACAAACAAAAACCGGAACTGCCGGAACTGCTGGAACCCGTCCTCCCAAGGGGCTTCGTGGGTCTACCAGTAGTCATCCAAATCGACGAAATCGATATCGTCCATGACGCCTTTGAGATTCCAGTGTATCCCAGCAATACCACGACGAGGAACCAGGGGCCCGTTCCGTTCGGTCGATGGTTTTGAGTTGAAGCGAAAGTGGTGACCAGTGGTGACCAGTGAACTTAGTGGCAAGTGGCTGCCCTGATTTGTGCATTTAAAGATCTACACTCCGACGAACACATCACTTGGAAGTGGATGGCACCCCCTGTTTTGTAAAGGAGTGTAGACGTCCTATTGGGGCCATGTCATCCACAATACCTTTCGCGGGAGGGTCTTCCAAGTTCAGTTCGTCCGATACCTCTCATGTAACTCCTCTCAGGATACTTCTATGGTCTTCAGTACCTCTCATCTTCACACCCTATAGGGATCCACATACCTTCTCAGAAGGTACGATTGGTGCCTACATCAGTGAAAAAGTATCCCTGCTCACCTTCTCAAAAGGTATGTGGGCATGCATAGAGAACAAACAAAACACAATATATATATATATACACAATATATACACAATATCTTTTTTTTATCATGTTCTGTTGTTTCACAACAATTTCACCACAAGATTCCCATGTCTACTTCTTCGCATGGCCGCCCGCCCTTCGACACGCGCCGGCGGGCTGAGTGCATCCCCAACACGCGGTGTGGCATCTAATGCGGTGTGCCCGCGGCAGCACTCAGCCGTGTGTCACGATCCAGGATTCTGGAATTGGCTGGAGAGTTCTCAGAGTTGTTGAGACTTTGAGAATCATCCACACAATCCAAAGCCGATTCTTTGAGAAAAGGCCCTTTTTGAAGGATCTAGACAAACATCTGGAGCAATCCTGGCATCATGATCATTCTTCTTTGGCATCGCAGCGGATGCTCCGTCAGGTTCTAGCCAATGTCCGGAGTCCTCATGCTCTCCGTTTTCCAGTAAATCGGATGCATTATGATTGTAATTTGTTCCTTACGAGTAGTAGTAGTAGTAGTAGTAGTAGTAGTAGTAGTAGTAGTAGTAG